GCGGTTAAGCATACTTTAAATGAACCAGCCCTGAAATGCTGTTATTCCCAAAGTGTATTCCTTTATTTTTTAAAAAGAAATCCTATAGAAGTTACATGTATTGCATTTATTTTTCAAAAAAAAATTAAAAGTATATCAATGAGCCAAATAGATTATATATATATATAAAGTTCCTCAATATTTAAAATGGAAGTACCTGTCATGACTGTTTCATTACCAGAAAGAGTGATATAGATTCACTTATGGTTAGAAAGCACGTGTGCCAGATCAGAACATCAAACACAGAAGCAGCCATAAGTTCAAAGATGTTAATTGATGGGATTAGATTTTTTAAAATGTTGATGTTTATCGCCCTCTCTGTGTTGTTTCTAAAATGAACACTTTTGTTTGAAGAATGATTTTTTCCCAGAAAAGCATGCTACTGGGGTTTGCAAACTAATGCATTACCTGAGTACTTAGTATACCCTGACGGTCTTCACAGATGACCTTTACGGTTACGTTCTCTGTGTGTGTTCAGCGTGCCCTGAGACTTGAGTGTCTGAGTCCTCTTCTACATGGATGGGGTCTGGTTTCACTGCAACTAAATGAATTGCACAAACAAAGCAGAGCAACCTAACTTCCTTTTACCCACGTGGATATCTTCGAAGTTTTTTGCTTTCTCTTTTTGTAAACAGATGAAGAAAATTGGGTTAGGTTTGTCTTTCATAGATGTTTTGCCACCTGCACATGAAGGGTTTGCAGGTGAAAAGTAAGGGCTTTCTGGTTTCCAGAAACACCAAGAACTGTGTTTAGGAAATGTCTAAAGCCCAGCTCAATGTCATTGACAATTGTTAACTATCAGCAATCCTATATCATAAAAGGCTAATATGCAAACTGGCCCCTCGACTGGGAGTTCGACCAGGGGGTGGGGCCAACTTCCGCGTCCCCTGCCCCCCACCTGGCCCAGCCCGATCGGCCAGATCAGGGTGGGCCGGCTGGACCCCACCCATGCACGAATTTGTGCACTGGGCCTCTAGTGGGTGTATATATATATAATATACATATATATAGTATATATAGAATGTACATATTGCCAATATGTACATATATACTTACATATGATATATGTGTATGTATATATATAAAATTTCTAACTACAGCTCATAATTGTGTTATCATTCAGAGATACATTTATCTCAATATGTACATGCATGCACACAGACTATTTTAAAACAAAATAGAAAGACCAGAGGAAAGGTTTTAGGGGTCAAAAGCGCTAAGGAGGACCTGGGGGAGCAAGGTGGCTCTGCCGAAAACTAAGTATAAAGAGAAGAAAATATGGGACTCGCAGATAGTTTTAGTCTCACATTTAGACAAATACTTTCCTTGTTTCTCTAACCAAAAAGACAAGATCCAAAGGAAAGCTATAAAGATTAGGAAGTAATTGAAAAATAGGACGCAAGATGATGTGCGGAGGTTAGGCGATGATAGAATAAGCTAATAAGCTTTCTAACAGGATTCCTGTTTTCCATTCTAACAGAATAAGATAGTAAAGCTCTTATTTCCCCACCATTTAATAATTTATAAATTCTTCATAGTATCATAGCTCATACGTTGCATGTTTACCTCATTGGAGCTTGCAATGTAAAACATTTAAGTATCTGAATATGTTGGAGAAAAGGAAAAATGGTCCTGTCTGCCCTTTTTGCTGAAGGTGGGTTTTTCACTAGCAGGGCCCAGGTGAAGGATTCCCCATGGTGTAGCCTGTAATCCATCTCTGGCACTTAGTAGGTGCTCAGTAAGTGTCAGGCTGTGGAGTCAATTAGAAGCAGTCCTCAGCAATACTTCATCCCCAGGAAAACCAGGAATCCCACAGCTTAAGTAAAGGGGAGCCTAAATTTCTCTAACTGAAATTATTAGGGTTTTCCCACCTCAGAAGACTCATGGACATACAATTTGTAAGGCTTAAGGCAAATTTCAGTTAAAGTGTATTGTGAATATTCTGCTTGCTTCTAGAAAAAAAAATACAATCAAAGAATCCAAAGAGGAAATGTCCTCCGGCCACTTGGTTGAAGAGGAAAGAAAACTAACGATTCCGAGTAGAACGTCTCACAGCTTCATCTCTCACTTACCTCCAGGAGAGATTTTCCTTGCATGAAATCACAAAATTATTCCTGCAGAAGGAAGCTTATTGAAGCTCTTGCTAAAAATTCTCTCCAGTTATATAGGGGAAAACCGACTAGAATATGAGCTTACCTCTCTGGGAAAATTAGATTTGATGGAGTTTAGTCATGGGAGTTTTTCTAAATAAAAATTATTCATTTATATATTAAAATTTCCAAATAATTGCTATGCCCAGTGGCTGTTATGATCCAATTATTTTTTTATGTGAACTTAACTTTTTATGAGCTCTGAACTTCACTTGGTCCAATGGGGAGAGGCTTGTAAAATATTAGGCGTGAGTAGGAGCAACGTCCTACATGCCAAGCACAAAATCAATGCTCTACAAGCTAATGTGAGCTACAGCCAGTGTTCAAAAACCAGACAAGATCATAGAAGGCCACTGCTTGCATACTTCCTAAGGAAATTCTTGCCGTCAACCTGGGATACAGACATTAGCGCTCTGAGCATGCT